CAGCTGGATGTGCCTGGGAACACCTCCCTAGGGAGGCGCCCCAGGTGGCATCCTAACTAGGTGCCCGAACCACCTCAACTGGCTCCTTTCGACGCGAAGGAGGAGCGGTTCAACTCCGAGTCCCTCCCGGATGACCGAACTTCTCACCTTATCCCTAAGGGAGACACCAGCCACCCTGCGGAGAAAACCCATCTCGGCCGCTTGTACCCGCGATCTCGTTCTTTCGGTCATGACCCATCATTCATGACCATAGGTGAGGGTAGGAACGAAAATGGCGCGGTAGACAGAGAGCTTTGCCTTCTGGCTCAGCTCCCTTTTCGTCACAACGGTGCGGTAAAGCGACTGCAGTACCGCTCCGATTCTCCGACCCATCTCACGCTCCATTGTTCCCTCACTCGAGAACAAGACCCCGAGATACTTGAACTCCTTCACTTGGGGTAAGGCTCATTCCCTACTTGGAGTGGACAGTCCATCGGTTTCCTGCTGAGAACCATGGCCTCAGATTTGGAGGTGCTGATCCTCATCCCAGCCGCTTCACACTCTGCTGCGAACCGATCCAGTGAGTGCTGAAGGTCGCAGACCGATGAAGCCATCAGAACCACATCATCTGCAAAAAGCAGTGGTGCAATCCTTAGTCCACCGAACTGCAGACCCCCTCCCCCACGACTACGCCTCGAAATCCTAACCATGTATATTACAAACAGGATTGGTGACAAAGCGCAGCCTTGGCGGAGGCCAACCCTCACCGGAAATGGGTCCGACTTACTGCCGAGGACCCGGACACAGCTCTCGCTTTGGGAGTACAGAGATTGGATGGCCCTGAGTAGAGACCCCCTCACCCCATACTCCCGCAGCACCTCCCACAGTAACTCCCTGGGAACCCGGTCATACGCCTTCTCAAAGTCTACAAAACACATGTAGACCGGATAAGCGTACTCCCAGGCCCCCTCCAGGATCCTTGCGAGAGTAAAAAGCTGATCCGTCGTTCCACGACCAGGACGGAATCCGCATTGTTCCTCCTCAATCTGAGGTCCGACAATCGGCCTGACCCTCCTTTCAAATTAAAAGATAGATTACGTAAATAGGATTAGATGCTATAAACTACCTATAACATCTTTGAAATGCAGCAAAAAGAAAGCAAATGTACAATGATCTTAAACAACACAACGTTCTTATAGATTTACAGCAGTTAAAGTTAGTTATAGTCTTTTGGAGATAGTTTAGTTTTTTCGGAGGGATGTTCGATTAAACAAAACACATTTTCCAAGATATCACAATGACAAACGTAATGGCTGATAATACAATTACTTACTGAGATTATGAATTGTATTTCTTAATATGCATGTTTCACTGCAAGGACGCCTTAAAATATGTACAGTGGTGAATATAAATGAATGTATCTTGAAAAGTATCTTAAATATTTTCTGCTGTTTTCTCTTTAGAGCCCGAAATGGACAAGGACTCCAAATGATCCACGAAGTCTTCCTCCTACACTTCTTTAACGAACGTCTCTGACAGTTACTTCATGTGAGAACAGATTTGAGGCTAGAAGAAGCACATGATGTTTGTTTGTGTGCCTTTAAAAGGATAATGTGATCTTGTTTGTCTGTACTGTGCAATAATGATAGTAACAAATGATATATTATATTTTATTAAAGCAACACTTTCAAAAGAGAACATGTTTTCTGATTCACAGGACGTGTAGGTGTGAGTGTGTGTTTGTGAATTGCAATGAATGTGTAGCATAAAACAGAAAAGGCCTGGATGAACAACAACACACACACACATTTTTTCCATGATCTCACATGCATTTGGCTATATTTCATGTTTTTCATAAAGTCAGAACCACAGACACACACACACACTAAAAAATGGTGAGCTTAGCAGCATAACAACATGCTATAACAAAAAAAATGTTCATTTATTTTTCTCTTCTTTAGAGAGAAGACACATCTGAGTGGTAGATTCATTTGTATATATGATTCGGCATAGTTATTTAATAAGCCTATGTAATTCATACAGAACACAGCGTACACTAATCACCATCAAAGGCATGACTCACATAATACATATTTATTTCCTGATGTATTTATGTACTCTCTTATTTTTTAACTGTTTATTTCAGCTTTATTTCTTTCCAAACTTTCACTTTTATTACTGGATTTTCTTTTACTTTTTTATTATTTTTACATATTTTGTATGCATACATTTACTCATGCTTATTTATTATGTCTTTATTCTCATGGCATTCTCAGTCCTCCATAGATTGTAGTGTACAGTGTGTAGAATAGTAAGTGATATGATAGACACAATTGTGTTTAGGGCACTTTAACTGCTTTACTGAAGGCATATTGGTTTCGTATAAAATCTAAATGTACTTACCTTTGTTGCAGTTCATTTGTACTGAACACATAATAAACTCCAAAGATTTAATCATTGACCTTATCACATGAGTGCAGCACCGCCGCACGCTTTTATCCAATCACAGTCGGAGCTTGAAGCGTATCTCGGCGCTGATTCGCCGAACCACCTGTCCGTCATGTGTTTAGGGCGTTGCCTTTCTCGGCAGCTGTCAGATGCAGAGCTTCTCCTGTAAAACGGCCGAAAACACGGCAGGACAGATGAATATCGGACATTTGTGAACTAAAGCAGTCTTTTAGAAACAAAGGTAAGCACTTAATTTCTTAACAAGTCGTTTTTAGTGATATATAAATGCCAGGTGTTGATGATAAAGCTTCTAACGGTTGTTATTCCTGATGTTTTTAGCACCTAGCTAGTGCTAACGGTCACCTGGCAGTTACAATGGAGCAGTTGGATTTGTAGGCTGTTTATCGCATGAATATTAAGTGACGTAACATTGCCGTTAAATAATAAAATAGAGCATTACATGAACCGTTACTGAGCTAACTGTTTCGTTCAGGGGCGGAACCAGCAAATGGTTAGAAGGGGGGCACCATGAGAGACTGTTTATCATCCAGAAACACCCTTATTTACATTAAATATTAATATCATCTGCCTTGTTTTAGGCTCCCTGTAGTGGGAAGTAGGGCTTCACAATTAATCGGTCTCACCATGGACTATTTTTCAATTATATTGTGAATAGTGTTTAAAAAAGGAGAATTCAGCAGAGTATAAGGGGCACTATGAGAGACTGTTTACCTGACAGAAACAGCCTATTTGACCGTAGATATTAATATAATCTGCCTTTCTTTGGATTCCCTGTAGTGGGGAAGTGTTGTACAATTTATTGAAATGTATAATCATAATATTTTTCTGTTATATTGAGAATAATGTGTTCCCTTTGTCACTTGTCATACCAATACTACACATATTTTATTTTTAAGGGTATATCTATATTTCATCTATATTCCATGTACATATTGCTATTGTTATAATAGTTTTATTAAAAATAGATTTGTATCTTTATTTGTTGGTCCTTTTCTTACAGTGTAGCTTCTTTAACTGTGTTTACTGTATTTATGTATGCACCAAATACATCAAGGCAAATCCCTTGTATGTGTTAACCTTACGTATTTTTGTATGCCGACCCGGAAGCTAGCATCTCCCTGGTTCCCTTGACAAAAAGCCAATGGGATTTTTCCATTGGATTTTGGAATATTGCAGAAAATAAGCTCTGTGGCCAACACATGTTTATGATACTTACACGTTTTGTTAAGCTCTTTGTGTTAACACTGTTTGTAGGAGCGTTGTACATCGCCACTCATTGTACATCCCTTGTTTCCTCCAGAGTGCTGATCCTCCCCAACCATCTAGCGGACCATCGGACCCCCATCATATCCTCATCATGGAGGCCGCCAACAGCTACGTGCTCATCCACGGGAAGAACATATCCCAAAATACCCTGGCAGGCTCTGCAGCCGGGCCCCACATGTCCATTGATAAGCTGTTCCCGGCTCTCCTCGAGTGCTTTGGCATCATATTGTGTGGCTACATAGCTGGCAGGTAGGCAAAAGCAGTTAACACAATCTCGCAGTAAACACAATCTCACAATTTCAAGGGATTATTATAACGCCGATACCTTTAGGGAACAGACTTGCAAAAGGCCATTTAAAAATGTCATAAACCAAGTGATAACTACAACAGTGAACCTTCTGTGTTCATGTTTCTCTCTGTGACAAGACTTAAATCGCACTTAATTCAAACTCAACACAAACAAAGTAAGTCTAACGAAAGCCTTCCTGTCTTTCTACTGTTACGACAATCACCACCTTTGGTTTTGTCTACAAACAAACCACTAATCCACCCAGTTAAATCGGAAAATATACGACACTGAGTAGTCTTTCATAGTCTTTTAAGTTGGTGTCACATAATAAGCTAGCATTTCAAGTTTTTGCTATATGCTGGAATTACCAAATCAACATATAAATAGTTATACGTGAACAACATCTGTGTGTTTATTGCTAACTCTTCTATTTGATCCTACAGGGCAGATATCATCACACAGAGCCAGGCGAAGGGTTTGGGGGCCTTTGTGTCTAAATTCGCTCTTCCAGCTCTGCTCTTTAAAAACATGGTGCTGCTGGACTTTGGGGACGTCATCTGGGCGTTTCTCTGGAGCGTCATGGTCGCTAAGGTTGGTGGCTGACTGTCTGTTTATGTATCTTATTTAATTCACTTAAAAAAAAAATAGCAACCTGTATTCAAGGTCATACAATGAGGCATGTTTTGTTTTCTTTACTCTGCCTGTAAATACATACATAGTACATGTAGTGACAAACCAATAACAAGTACACAATATATGTATTTACTTTCTTTGTTATATCATGGTGTAGAATTTTAAGAAGTCATGTGATTATAACCTACATTTGAGGCTCCTCTCCTGCAACCTAATTTAATTTGTTTTTGTTTCATTGGACTTTTATGTATTTTATTGTTATATTAAGTATGTAGCACTAGCAGTGTTGGAGGAGCTTGCGATTTAAGATTTCCGTAGCCCAAACAATGCTGTAGCTTTTGTGTGTATGAAAAATAAAGCCTTTGAATGTTTGCATGCTGTGTGTAGGTGACGGTGTTTGCGCTGGTGTGTGTTCTGACTCTGATGGTGGCCAGTCCAGAGTGCAGATACAGCAAGGCGGGTCTGTACGCCATCTTTGCTACGCAGAGCAATGACTTCGCCTTAGGATACCCCATAGGTGAGGAAGACACTGATGCTTTCTACTCAAATGATCTTGAAAATACAGTTTTTAAAAAGATCCCCTATCATACAGTTTTTCATCAATATATCACTGGTGTCAGATATATCCAGAGCCTGTCTCTGATTGGCTGAAACACCAAACAGATCATTGCAGCATTACCCATAATCCCCTCTGTTTCAGCCCTGTTTCCAAAGTGCTGATTCTCTGTCTGTTACTTTAGATGAAAATAAGGAGCCCCTCCCCACGCCCCTCTGAGAGAGATTTGGTTCAAAAGAACCAATGGTGCTCTAGGAGGAGATTCAGGTGATATAAGGGGGGGGTGTTACCTTGGTTGGCTCCTGCCCCCCCTCCCTATGAGCCCAGTGGCCGTCTGCGAGACACAGCCAAAAAACAATTAATGACATCATAAAGTGGCCAAAATCTATCAGCTCTTTTCAGACAGGTTTTTTTTATAGAAATGGATCAAAAAAGGAGAGAGATCTTTGTTCCCTGAAACTTTCAGAGGTCTCTTCCACAGAGGGGACACATGTTGAATGAAGAAGAAGACATGAAGAAGAGGCCGGACACATGTTGATGTAAGAAGAGACCATGAGAAGAGGGAACACATGGTTGATGTAGACAGGAGTAATGAAGAAGGAGGGACACATGTGATGTAGAAGAGACATGAAGAAGAGGGGACCACATTTGATGTAGAAGAGACATGAAGAAGAGGGGACAGCCATGTGTTGAGTAGAAGAAGAAAATGAAGAAAGAGGGACACATGTTGATGTAGAGAGACATGAAGAAGGGACACATGTGGATGTAGAAGAGACATGAAGAAGAGGGGACATATGTTTGATGTAGAAGAGACATGAAGAAGAGGGGACACAATGTTGGAGTGTGAAGAGGACATGGAAGAAGAAGGGAAACATGTTGATGTAGAAAGAGCATGAAAGAAGAGGGGACACATGTTGA